CAAATAGCAATCAAGTAATGTTTGACGTATTCTGTCGTGATGCGCGATTGTTGTTCGGGCTGTCACTGTTTATAAGCCGATTTTTTGAGCACATTGTTACGCGGCCACTGGTACGCCCAGAGGGTATAGGCTCGGACGGTAGGGCTCGGGGCGCAGTTAAATCTAATCCTGCGAGCCCGACCAAGTAGAGTTCGAAACCTGACTGGGCCGGTGATTTTCAAAACTTTTTGTAGATCAAATTACATTCAAAATCACGTTTACTTATTAAAAAAACTTATATATTGCATAAAAAAAAAATTTAAAAAATAAAAATAAAATTCCGCAAGTGTTTTAGGACCCAATCTTCAAGGACCCGCAATTTTTTTTATTTATATTTTATTGTTGTTTTTAAGAGCTTTACGTAGGTCAAATTACATTCAGAATCACGTTTACAGAATAAAAAACTTGTATATGTATTATTGATTCTTATAAATGGTCTGGGAAAATTATATCACCATATAATATATGCTAATTTAATCTCATGATAAAAAATGATATTTTTTCATCTTGATCTTACCACCAATATTAATCTCACTCAATAATAAGCTTTTTTAGTTGCAAATTGTGTTTATTGATCTCTCACAAAGGCAATTGCTGCCCATAACGGGATACATCATTTATACATTCAAAATTATACAAGTTGATATAATTGAGAGAAAAGATTGAAAATTTTACAAATTTTTACAATAACAAAATACAAAACAAAAAGAAAAAAAATTAACAGTAATAAAGTTGTTTGGACATTTTTCTTTTTTCTGGATGCTGAAAGCTTGCATTTAGATGACTGCCGGATACTTCCAAATGCCGCTTTCATCTTTGTTCTTTTTTTGCTCTTACTCCTGGCAAAAAACTGCAGCTCAAATTATGTTTAGTACATTAGTTATTTTTAGTACACACAGAATTTTCAATTCATTTATTTATTCTCTCGCAACAAGTCAAACAGAAAATTAAAATCACATTGGGAGAGAATTGGCAGCCAGCTCTAGTAAACAACTTACTAAAACTCATAGGCTCAATTTGGAAGCAAAAGTGTTTCCAACTTAAACCTACTCGCCGAACTGGAGCCGTAAGTGGGGAGAAAAAAATTCAAAGGGTTACATATATTTTGCATTTTAGTAAACTAATTATTATTAACTGTATATTTTCAGATAAAATCATACTTAAACTGATAATGAAAGTGACTTATTAATTTTAATTGTTTTATTATTCATGCAATTAATTATAAATTCAAATTATTGCATACAAATATTTGGAAAAAATTAATTAAAATTGCAATAATTGAATCAATTAGGCAAAATTTTGTTATTTTTTCAATAAACAATAAAAGAAAAAATTTATAAAAGACAAACATATCAAAATAAAAACAACTTCAAACTTCCTCTACATCTCAGTTCGAAGCAGTTCGAAGGTTGCAATTGAAAACAAAACATTATTCTTGCAGATCTCAGTATCACAAACTTCTCTTTTGCTAGTAGAGCACACACAAATAAATGTCAGTGAGGCACGCAGCCGTGTATGTGCAGTCGAAATATAAAGACATCGGAGAAGGCCGCGCTTGCTTTCTAATTTTGAACGCTTTTCACCCCCTTTTGTCGAGCCACCGGATAGATTGCGTCGGTGTACTCGCTTCTTGCCAGATGTGTGTAGGCAAGTCTGCGGGGCATAAAAGTTTCCTTTGAAAGAGCGGCGATTGAGTCGCAATCAAGGGCTGTTTTCGCGAATGCCCTCGAGCACAAAAGAAGAAGGTGGTTTTCTGTTACAAACACACACGCACTCTCTGTCTGCCCTGCGCTCTCTCGCTTGTTTTTTCACCGTTGGCTTGGCTTTTGCCAGGAAATAATAACGAGAAACACCACAAATAAAAAAAGCAAAAGGAGGTCGCAAAAAACAAACAATAGAAAAGCCTCCTGCAAAATTAATTGCTTTATTCCTTCTCTCTCCCTTACACACACATCTCTGTATATTACACGCAGAGAGCGGAAAGGGCTTCTCTCTTTTTTGCAGTTTTATTGCCCCTTGTACATTTAAGTAAGACCTGTCTTGTGCTATTTTTTCGGAGGTTAACTGTTTCTCGTAGAAGTTGACGGGATGACAAGCACCGTGCAGAAGGAAAAAAGAAGACCTGTTTTTCCAGGCAAAAAAGCAACATTATAGTGAGCTTGGCATAATTATTCAGCATTTTTTTTTTTAATTTTAACACGATTCACTTTTTGAATCGATACCTTAAGAGGTTCGAAACCCTCATTAATTAAGTAAGGAAATGTGCGAAATTTGTCTACTCCATAATGGCGGCAAGAAAAATTAGCCTAATTTCAAAGCTTGAACTTTGACATTCAAAAACTCCATTTCATGGTAATTTCAATTATAGGATTGCAAAAAATAGGCGAAATACACACAGAATGTTTTTGCAGCTTAATTGGGTACTTTTTTCAATTTGACAAAAAAAGCCAATCAAAACAAGCACGGAGATCGATATATTTGATTACTTTTTTATGGTTTGAGTAGAGTAAATATTGGATGTGTAATTGAATTTTAATAAAAACTTAAACATGCTGATCGTTACAAATATCTCACAAACATATATTGCTCCACTGCAAAATGCTTCCAAATTAAAAATACCCAACCTAAAAAATCAAATCGAGATTTTGTTTTTAATAAAGAGTAATTAATAATTTTTGAGAACTTCACATTAAATTTTTTACTACTACTATTATTGTTGTTTATTGTTCGCATAGTTACAAGTAAATTGTTTACATTCAATTGTTGAAAACAATTTATTTAAAAAAAGGAATTGTTGGCATAACCACTAGCAAGAATTTTGCTAATAAAACTTCTGTTATCAAAAATACTCCATCCGCCGCAGTGAGCCTAGGTTGACTACAGCAAAATTTTTTTTTTATTAATTTAAAGCTTAACGTTTATTTTAGTCAATGACTCTCAATGCGGAAGAATTTTAATGCCACTGGGTTTTCGTCGTCGGATTGTTAAAAGTTTCGTTTTTGAAGTTTCAAAATGCAACGGATGCCATACGCTTTCCTTTATATGAACGGGAATAAAAGTTCCGAGTCAAATCCTCATGAGATCAAAAGTTTCGCGTCCCTCGTTGCGTCGAATGAATAATTAGCTTTGATTGTATCCGTGGAAAAAGCGTCCACCGAAATGCGAATGGCAAAAAGTGGATATTGCAGGGTCTGCCCGCAGTTGGAAAAGTTGAGGAGCGGCGGCTCGGAAGTAAATTTAGCCATTATTATTTCGTGCCTCACTTCGCCCGACTGTGTGTGCCTCCGTAATTTTTAATCTACGGCGAGCAACCTCATTAGCAGGCAGGCGAAAGCAGCGGCCATTAATGAAATGCTGCTGGCACCCGCAAACCACCCCACCAGCGAAACCGCGCTTTTCCCTGCAAATCGGCCGCGAGCAGCTATTTTAATGACGGGCTGAGGGTTACTCTCGCGTTGGAGGCGAAAACGATGTTTAATTTGCCAGAATTTCCTCTCTTCTCTCATTGTTTCCGTCAAATTTCATCATATATTGGGTTTCCACCTCATTATTTTTTCTCTCACGCGCCCTTTTTTTGCGGCTGCTCTTTTGCCCTCTCCTTTTATCTCATTTATACAAGGTTGGAAAGGATTAAGCTTTTGAACTCAAAATTTTTATTATTCAATTTTAATAACAACATTAACTCAATTTTGCAATTTTTTGATGGGTTTCTTTCAAAATTTTCCATAAAAATACAGTTTTTAATATCATTGCTTTGGCGAAAATTGCTAGCAAAAAAAGAGAGGCGCAAATGAGCATATAATATCAATTTTCCATTAATCGTAGCGAGCGTCGTTTTTGTACAGCCATTACTAAAGTAACCATTTGATCTGATTCACCAGCTGTCTCTTCAAATTTGCGCGTCAGGTTTCATTTCTTCTTTCACTTGGACTGATATTTATCAAGCACATTTTTTCCACTTGGAAACGACCATTGCGGCAGATGTCGAGTGGATTACGAAAGAACTTTCATCTTCCTCGGGGCTCTTTCGCACGCTAATGGAATTGCAACCGAAGGTGGATAATGCTTTTTCCCCCAAATTAAAGCTCACATGCTTTGAAAAAGATTTCGCTTGTAAGCTATAATCTCGATACAAAAAAATCCTGATTACATTTTTAATAGTTTTGACATTTTTAAGTCGTTGCACATCCGGTACTAATTTGTCTACAGAAAAAGGTGTTTTAATAACAAACTGGTTGATAATAATGCACGGGAACATAATATTTTTAGAAATTGAATGACTTAAACATATTAATAGTAAGAGCCTTGTTTATAGGAGTTAATATAATTGTTAATTATTGTAAATTTTTTACTCAATTCAATAAAACGATTATCTTCTAATCTATTCTACACTTGTAGAAAAAGCAATATTGCAATGTCACTACTTAAAGTTGATGATAATAAATTTTGCTGATAGCTTCAAAAGCATTTTAGTTTCAATGTTTGAATTTATTAATTAATTAATTCAATCCATTTAATTAATTTTTTATCCATAAACCCCAGATTTAATGAAATCTTTAAGAATTAAGCCTTTCTTATAAGCTGCTTGTATATTTGATAAATCTATTGAACTTAGCTGAAACGTTGTAGAGACTTTGACATATTCTGCTCTACTAATCGTTATAATCTTATTTTAAATTAATTTGTATTTGCAATTTTAAAAATGAAGACACTGATTAATAGTTTTTCAACATCTCTAAGTTATTTTAGATACCTGTAAATCTGAATTGTACCAGAAATGAGAAATTTATCAAAAAAATATAAAGAGCCTTTTTATTTTTATTTTATTTCGGGGAACGATAAACCACTCGACGTTTTTCCTTTTGATTTTTCTTGCAACTATCAAGCAAAATCACGCTAAGTTGTGCGAGTCACGAAAGAAAACGCCCTTGCTAATCGGCGGAACTTGTTGCTTGTTTCAGCTTTCTCGTCGGCACCAGCCTCGGTGGTGGATGAGGCCGTTATGAGAGTGCTGGTGGTGCTGCTCGCGCTGAGTGGCTGCTGCCTCGGCCAGCTGTCGGTCAAGATCCCCGGCGACATCGTGCTGGGCGGCCTCTTCCCCGTCCACGAGAAGGGCGAGAAGAGTCCGTGCGGCCCCAAGGTGTACAACCGCGGCGTGCAGCGGCTCGAGGCGATGCTGTGGGCCGTCGACAGGATCAACGCCGACCACCACCTGCTGCCCACCATCCGCCTCGGCGTCAACATCCTGGACACCTGCTCCAGGGACACGTACGCCCTCAACCGCTCCCTCGAGTTCATCCGAGGCTCGCTCAACAACATGGACGTGTCTGCCTTCGAGTGCAATGACCGCCGACCGCCCCGTATCAGGTCAAACTCGACCGGACCCGTGTTCGGAGTTGTTGGGGGATCTTACAGCTCCGTTTCACTGCAGGTCTGATTGCTTTTTAATTTTATTTTGGGTTTTTATTTAATTGCGGTTTTCTCCATAAAATAAATAAACTGCTCAAATGTAAAATAAGTTTGCACGGATTAAAAACAAATCCGGAGATTTCTGAAGGTTGATTTATATGCAGAACTTTTCATTTTAAACTTTTAAGTTTAAAAACTGCTCTGCAGGTTTTGTTTCAATAAATGAATTTAATAGTTTTCTCCAAATTTACTAACTAATAAATAACAAGAGAAAATTTTTGTCAATTTTAATTTTGAATTGCTCATATTATGAACGTTTAAAAACCTTCACTGAATATTAAAATATTAGTTCAAAGCATGCAGTTTGGTGACCCTATTATTTCTAACCAAAAAGCACACATAGTTGACTAATTTTTAGTTTTTTCACTCACACTCGTGTTAATAAATTAAAACACTGTTCCTTTCACAATCAAAATATCGTAAATTATTTCAATAAAAATAGGTTTAAAACAGGAAGAAATGCACCTCTTTATAGTAACGAGCCATAAAAAGATTCGCGCAGCTTGTGGGAGTTTGAGGGACTTAAAATGTACAGTAACAATCAATTGCGTCATCAAGGCTTTGCAAAAATAAACAACAGCCGTTGAATATGTATAATTGCTCGTCAGTTAACCTGGATGGTAGCTGTCCTAACCAGTTATGCCTGTGGTGGATTACAATTTGTTTGCTGTTTTTTTTTTTTACAAACGTTTCGTTGCCTTTGAATTAAATTTTCATTGTGTCGTTGGTTTTTATTTAAGCCGCTTTTGAGTTTCTCTCGCTTTTTTTATGCGCGGCTCTTTTTGTGGTGTAAAAATTTATGTCATTAATTATTGCGGTCTAATGATTAAAATTATTATCCGACTTTGGGGCTTACATTAGGCATAACACAGCTAATGCGTGTGCGTTTAATATTGAAATTTAATTCTATATGATGAAATTTTCACACAAAAAATTAATCTTTTTTTACAGTTTACCAATTTTTTTTTTCAAATTCAAATAATATTTGTAAGCATAAAGATTTGTTCTAGGGAAAATTCACTTTCATATCAAAAGCAATGATAAAAGTAGAGACTAAAAATTTGCCTTTCTTGCAAGTCACTTGTACTCTTTTCACCAATCCTTTTATAATTTTAAAAATGCTCATTTTTTAATTCGATTTCCTCTAAAAAAAATACAAAAATAAAAAATCTGACGCTTTTGCCGGTGTTGATATCTGTTTGACAGGTTGCCAATCTGCTGAGACTGTTCCACATTCCGCAAATCTCGCCGGCGTCGACGGCCAAGGCTCTGAGCGACAAGACCCGCTTCGACTACTTCGCGCGCACCGTCCCGCCGGACACGTTCCAGGCGATCGCGCTCGTGGACATCGTCAAGAGTCTGAACTGGTCGTACGTGAGCACCGTGTACTCGGAGGGCTCGTACGGCGAGTACGGCATCGAGGTGTTCCACAGGGAGGCGCAGGAGCGGAACGTGTGCATCGCGGCCGCCGAGAAAGTGCCGAGCGCTGCTGACGAACGAGTTTTTGAGTCCATCCTCGGCAAACTGCTTAAGAAGCAGAACGCCAAAGGGGTCGTGCTTTTCACCAGGGCCGAGGATGCGAGGTAATCCAAATATTTGAACGCCCCTCGTTATTTATTGCTCGGCAAATTTGACTAGCTGCGCCCTCTTGTTGTTTGAGCTTTGTATCTGTGCAAATGCATGCTTGACGAGTTAATCGAATCTGGGCGCCGACAAATCGTTCCTTCAAAGTTTCCCAACTCGCACCGGGTGGCTGATCGCTAATTAATTTCAAAGTTCAAAGGCGTATTTAAGCGAAAGCTGCCCAGACATTGTTTTCCGCAGGATAAGTTATAACGGTTGCTGATTGAAGTTGTTCTTTGGCTTCTTTGCTTCTGCGCAAGACGAGTATTTTTCATGAAATTAAACATTATCTTTAAATTTCATATGAAATAGGATAGCAGAACGTGACTAGAATTGTTCAGCCCTTTTCATAAATAATTTTATGTATCAAAACATCTGTTGTTGATGGCAGAGGCCTTTGTTAAACTCTTCAACTATAGAAAATTACAAGCTTTCCTCTCTTTGAAATTTAAAATTATTAATTAATAAAGCGAAGCCCCAATACAAGGGTCGTGTTCTTCCCCTGTATCAAGTGTAGCGGAAATTTTTGAAATTTGCCAGATGGTTAATCCCAGCATCTCTCCCGCGAATTTCTAATCACAGTTGAAAACCCAATATTGTATAAATAATTATAATTTCATTCTTTGTGGAGAGGAATTATGATCGGAAAGAGACGCGAGCGTAATTAATTAATATTCCAAGAAGCAGAGTTGAAATAAATGAGAGAGCAACACTCTCTGACATTTGAGCAGGTGGAGTCTTATATATGAAACTTGCTACTTGACGCGTCCCGAGCGTGTGAATTATTCAAACTGCTGGCTGATGTGTGTAGCGGAGAGAGAACGGGGGTGTGCGGCAATCGCCGAAAAGCACAATATTCGCGTCTTAAAAGCCTTCTCTCTTTTCGGGCGCAGAGACGGCGGCGAGACATGCAAATACATAATGCATCGCCCAGAGTACTCCATAATGGACCTCGTAATGGCGCACGGCGAAAGTTCACGGCCATTCACAGGGGTCTGTCGCTTCTTTTATCCGCTGCAAAAGCAGCCGAGAAGACGTGCGCGGCACTTTGCAAATTAAAATCGAAACATGGAGCCACGTTCTCGTCGCAGACTTTTCTCCGCAGCCATGTGTTTCTTCTACCATAATTTTTTTAATGGAAATAAAAATTATGAGGATGATGCTTCTCCATCATCAACGTGCATCTTTTGCAACTATTCTGCAAAATGCTGCTCTAGTGTCAGCTATAAATTGCTTTCTAAATTGTTTCTTAATCACTGAAGCTTCGATATTTCAATAATGCAACTCCATTTACGCGTTTACTTAATGATTACATACTTTAATGTTTCCTCGGCTTAATAAATATGGAGTGAATCAGATTCCTAGCTTCTCGTTAATTACTATGATATTGTTGGAAGAAACGAATTAGCATAAAGGGTTTAATCATGCAATATTTAGAGAAAAAAAATATATATAAGAATTTGATGAAAATAACAATAAAAATTAGAAGTGGATAAAATTTTAGAGTTTTAATTATTATTATTATTTTGCTTTTAACTATTTTTCTCTAATGTTTAATTCTCTGCAAACAAGTTAAATTTTAACAACAAAGTTACCACAAATTATTTATTACAAAACGGAACATTTTTATTGTTTACGTTTCGTCAACAGCTGAAATTAATTACTAATTATTTTCATTTGTCTGTGTAAACAACCAATTTTGATTCTTAGGGGTTTGCTGAGTGCTAGCAAAAGGATGCAAACTTCTTTGTACTGGATCGCGAGCGACGGCTGGGGCAAGCAGCAGAAGCTGGTCGAGTCTCTCGAAGAGGTGGCCGAAGGGGCAATTACGGTGGAGCTGCAGTCGGAGCACATGCCCGGTTTTGACGAGTACATGATGTCCCTGACGCCGGACAACAATCACCGCAACCCTTGGTTCGACGAGTACTGGCAGGTAAGTCCTTTTTTGCAAATTCAAAGGAAAAATAACTGACAAAAATCGTATGCCAAAGTGCGACGCAAATTCCCTCGCGGCTACACCATTTCGCGTTCGAAACGGAAAATCCTCCCCTCGGGACTTTGCATTGTGAAGCGAAATCATGTCTTTTGAGTTTTGGTCCCTCATATATATTTTGTAGACGCAGTTTGCCACGTGGGAGTCGCACTTTTTAAAAGTTTATATAAGTGCTGTATAAAAACGTACAAATTTATTTTCCCTGAGGACTTTTTTGTCTCCAATTTTTTGTCCTTCCCAAATACATTTTTTTTCTTCAAAAATTTAGGACACTTTTGGCTGCGTCCTGCCGCAGTACGCGAATGCAGAGAACATAGACGTGGAGATCTGCAGCTCCGACCTGCGGCTGTCGGAAAAGGTGGGCTACGAGCAAGAATCCAAGGTGCAGTTCGTGGTGGACGCCGTGTACGCCTTCGCCTACGCCCTGCACAACCTGCACAAGGACCTGTGCCGTTCCAAGGACAGGGTCTGCCATACCATGGCCCTGTATGACGGGGGAGACTTTTACAGAAACTACTTGCTCAACGTCGCCTTCACAGGTAAGAAAACAATTGAAATTTTGATGAAATAGAATTTCACACTGGAAATCCTTGACATTTTATAGTTTTATGAAGAAATATAATTTTATTTTACGTGCCTCTAATCAAATATTCCATAATTATTAGAGTTAGTTCCACAATTTTCTTTCATAAATTAAAAAAAAAAATCAAAACTTTAATGAAAAGCTTGAATTTTTAATTAATTTTACTTCTATTGTTTTTGCTTTACCATCAAAATTAAATTTAAGAATTAAATAAATACGCAAAAAAGTTTATATAAATGGCAGAAACTGTTACCAAGCTGTATTTTCTCGATCAAATGTTATCAATATAATATTTATTTATAAAATAAGAATGTTATGATTATTTTCTTGAAACATTTGACAAAAATTATTAACAAGACATTTTATGTTGCAATTAAAAATTATGCTGGTGTTATACATTTAGTTCATCTTTGCAATTAAAATTTTGGAAGGCAAAATCTCTCTTTAAATACGGAGACTAAAACGACCCTTTTCTTTTGAAACGCCGAACATCAAAGACGTACTTTTTGCTACTCTTTTTAGACCTTTGCAAGGTCAAAATCTCTGGTATGATTTTTTTTAAATTTTTCTCAAAGAGCCCTTTGTGATTCGCAGTTTGTTTCCAAGCAAGAAAATCTGACTGCAAGCACTGGAATTCGCTTTTTACACCCGCACTCGTACGTGCATATTGTTTCCGCGCGAATTCGCAATGTGTGTCAGCACGATCGGAATGCGCATTACTGCTCTCTTTGCATTCAAGTATGGGTGCCACGGCGCCGTTCTAGCGAAATGTTTGCGCCAGAGCGTTAACAAAGCGTTTTCGACTCGTTGCTTTCTCGCTTGCGCACTGTGTATGTACCAGACACGATAATTACTCTCATTGAACTGGTGCGCTCTCTCTCCAAGTTGGGCGCGCGAGGGCCACTCTCCGGGCTGCGGCAAAGCGATAGCTCGGAAAACGCCTGCAGGTGCACAGACAGTAGAGCCGCCCTGTAATTAATCTCCTCGCTGGTATGGTCGCAATAGGAATGCTTTGTTCGCAAATAATGCCTACTGGTCAATGCCAACCAACAATGCCCGAGACCGTTTTAACCCAAGTGGCCGCCAGCCTCTGTAATGCGTTGTTAAGGAGGAGCAATTCTAACATGCAAAGCTTCCTATTCAAACCATTGGAATTTAATTTTATTACAAAACGCATTCAACCCCTTTTAACACTAAAGTATAACATTTTATAAAATTATTCTAATAATTACAAGCACCAAACTATTTATTCCTAATTATTCGATCTTGAAAAGCAGTTTCCTGCAAATATATTCCAGAATTGAATTTTCATAAATTTTAAGCATGAGACGGGGAAAATCTTTCTAAAAGAATTTAAAAAATTCTCTTCCAAGTAAAATGAAAAGGAGACAGGAAAAATGTAGTCTATTGGAAATCTTTAATTGCAACAGAGGGACAGACGTTCGTTTTAATGAAATAATACAATTTCGTCAGACTTTGTAAGTAAATAGAGGCATCCTTGTTAATTCTATTTGAAGGGTTGATGACAAATATTTGCGAGAGGACACAATCCTCGTTTCCGATGTTGCATGGAAATTGAACCAGTCTGTAGCAGTGAGAATAAATATCAATCGGCTCCAACTCTCAATAGCAGTCGAGTTTGTCAGCTCTCGCTCTTCGTTGGTAATTTGATTTCCAACTAAATAGCTAATCAATTGGCGCGTTCTCGTTAGCCGGTGATGGAAATCAGAGAAGCCGCCCTATATATACTCTGCTTTTTGCGGCCGATGTCATTTGGACGTGGGCTCTCTCTCTCTCTGCTGTGTGTCAATTCGTTCTCCTCCAGCCTCTCTCTCTTCGTGGATGACGGCAGGCATGGTAATCAATTCCAATTATACGCCGGCAGTAATTATCAGTGTGAGAGAAGCCCGACCAGCTGCTCTGATGGCACAGAAAGAACACCGTAGGGGGTAGCTTGGGGGGCGCTGATTCAGAATTAAATTAACGTGGTGCTCTCGCACCCTTTCTTTTATTCGCACCAACCTTAAGCTGGATTAGGCAGGGCGAGTAAAAAAAGTGTCGGGATAAAGGAAATCCTCTCTCGCCGGCACTCGCTCTTTCTCTCACTGCTTTTTTATTTCATTTTAGCCTAATCTCCCCCCAGGACGGAACAAAAGTCGCACCTGCTGCTGCAGATAGATCTTTCTTTCTCTCCGTCTTCCAATTAAGCAAAAATTAAACGCGAGTTGCAGTAAATTGAATTTGCACTGACTTCATTTGCACGCTCGTTAATCTTGGCGCCGCGGGATTCCGCCTCTGCCTCGACTTTTCCCATCTCTGTGCAATTTTTTATTCGTTTCTGCGTCCGAGAATTATTGAGTCAATATTTGGGGCGTGTTTTAATATTCATGGAATGTACATAATATTGGCGGCCGTCTTATTTCTTTTCGAGTGCTGGTAAAGGTGCTGCCAAGTCGTGCATGTAGTTGCTGCGAAAGTTCCTATTTTTTTGCTGACAAACTTGATATTGAACTACGCAAAAAAGGCTCTCGCGAGCGAACAAAGTTGTAACTTATATGTGCCCAAAAACGAGGCTTTATAGAAGGGTGATTTTTTTTCATTTTTTAAACTTCCTTTCTTTAATCAATAAAATACCTTGGTGCAAAAACGTTTTCAAAAATTGAAATTTCATTTATGAATGGTTTTTTGGTACTCTAATAATTATTGAAAAATGATAGAATTCCATTTTTACTTTAGACTAAACAGATAAATATTTTTAGAAAGGAATTTGGATTGTTTTCCAGTTTTATATCTTTCAACTGATCACTGCAAGCTAGACATTGGAATTTTATAAACGGTGAAGTTTGTTATTAACAGAACTTTATTGAAGCAAATATTTGTTTGAAATTCATAATATTATTCCCTAATAGTTTGTCTCAGTTTGTCTGAAGCTTTTTTTTTTAGTTAAAAACTGATTGAGAATTTTGTACGTTCCGCGAAAAAAGAATTGTCGACCGCAGATTAGCATCTTTTGTTCTTTTGTTCTACCAACAAATCTTCCTTGCTTTTTTCACTTTATTCTTTTCATTAATTGAAATACGCAGCCGCGTCTCCGCTGTCCTATTGTGCGCGTCTCTTGGGCCTAACAACCGAATTAAAGGAACCGGAGAATTCTCAAGGAGTTTCTGCATGAAAGCGACCTTTGTGGGCGAAATTCCAAGGTGACGGGAAAACAAACGGCTTTTCCTGTCGTCGCCGCCGTCTTCTCCCGCTTGATGAATAATATGCGCTTCAGCGACAGAAAAGCCAAAATTGCGTCGCTTAACCCCTTAAATATCGTGTGTTTTGCGTTCCGCACGTCTTACTCTTAATTCCCGAGAGCGCCCGTTTCCACTTCCTGCCGTGTTTTTGCACAATGGGAATAATGCAGCCTTTGTTTGCGCCGATTATTTTATACGCACTGGCATACACGTGGCCCGTTTTTCGCTGCGGCCAAATATTTAATTCATCTTTCGCGATTTTCAGCAGGCCCTCGCCTCTCGTTAATGGCAATATAATCGAGTTAAATAAAGCCGGAGACGCTCCTTTCGACACACGAGAGAGCAGGGCGGTCTCGGAATTTATGGGCCGGCTGTTGGCCTGTAATTGAATTAAATTGAAAGCTTAGAGAGCGCGTGCGGTGGAATATAAAACGTAATTTATTTAATGGAAACGAAGACATGAATGCGTCTTTAATTGAAAACGTGAGCAAACACCCTGGGAAAATGGGCTTAAAGTGGCTATTGTCTGCAATTATTCGTGCGGAAATTAATCCTCTTATTTCAAACAAAAATGCGTCCATACTTCATGCCTCACAAGTAAATAAATTTGGGAAAATCTTTGGAAATAATATCTAAATAAAAATGTAAAAAAAGAATAAATTATTTTTCAGCCTTAAGCTTATTTTGATATTGTTTGAATTTATCGTGAAGATTATTTAATAGAAGTTTATCAACTTGAAATAAAATTTCAGAATTGTATTTTATGAAATGAAACTAGCAAAGTTATGAATGCAAAGCTTCTTAATCTTTTAAACTATATAATTTATAATAGTTCCTATCTTTTAATTATCTTTAATTTCCATCCCCAATTTTACTTGTTTCCAATCATAATAAATGAGAAAGTAAAATCCTTAAAATTCCTGAGCATAAATTTGTTGCTATTCTCATGGGACACTAGAATTTATAAAATTTCACAGGAAAAATCTTATCCAAATTAGATTCTCTACGAAAATCATACCTGCTTTCATCTTACCAGGCACTTATTTTCAATTTTCAGTTTCATTTTTATGTTTTTCCTGCAACTTTTTAAGGAGATTTTCATGGAAAAAGCTATAAATCAAACTGATGTATGGCCAAGAGTGGTGCACGTTTTTACGTCCGGGCAAATGCAATTTATGCATCGGATCAACCTGTTTTCGCGAGAGAGGATAAAGCTTTTCGCGATCCGCCACGGTGAGCTTGGTGCGATGCTTTTTAGCCTCACGCGCAAACCCACCAATTTTCATTAAAAAGCTTTTGCGCGCGACGCTGCTGCGAGGCGAGTAAATATTAATTAGAGTTGAAACGACTGGCCCCATTTTGTGACATTTAATTGCGGTTTGCACGTTCTGCCAGCATATAACGACACACTTCTCTTGGACAAGAGCGTTATTAACAATTATTTACTCGACTGCTTGATGTTATTTGTGCTTCGGCTAATTCGAACTGAAAATGTAAACTAGCGGAAAATTGTGCTCATGCACGGTGGGCGAGCAACACCATCAAGTGGGAATTTTTTTGGAGCAAAATGTTACCAAAAAAACTCTTTATGGCACGAAATTGCGCAGCATAAAATTATTTCAACCGTGAAATTGCCACTGTACAAAAATCACTCTAATTTATAATACCTGTAAAAAGATTTGAGCTCTTGATACATAATAAAAAATAAAAAAAATTGAACAAATGGTAGGAAACACTGCGCATTTTAATTTAAATAAAAATGTGTATTTAAAAGAAAAAAGTACTAAAACCTCTTAAATTTTAATTTATTGGAAAAGAAATTATAAATTATTTTATATATTTTGACTCGCATATATGCAGCTCATAAGAAAATAAAATTATAGAAGATGGAGTAAAAAATATTAAACTTAAATAGCTGTGAATTAAAAAAAAATATTTTATAAATTTTTATTATTGGGGAAAAAAAGAAAGTTTAATAATATTCCATTTTAAAATTTTAATATTTAAGTACCTACTTCATTTGGCCTTTGGCCTTGCTAATAGAAAGATATTGTTTGATCTGAAGCAAAGGAAACTTGTCCATTTTTTTTATACCTCAAAATTTTGATACTATTTCTTAATCAAATTTTGCAATTTTCAATCTCCACGTGATTTAGAAAAACTTTTTATCTTTTGCAGATTTGGCCAACAGCGAGGTAAAATTTGACAGCCAGGGCGACGGTTTGGCGCGCTACGACATCCTCAACTACCAAAAGCTGCCGAATACCTCTGGCTATCATTACAAGGTGAGCCGCCGTGCATTCACAACACAACCCCTTTGTTCTCGTGGGCAAGGGCTGTCGCGTTTCGGGCCTGAATGGAAAGCAAATTTCGTAATATGCTCGTGTTTGCCTCACAAATCTCCCCTTGCATTGAATATCACGGCAAATTGCAGTGTTTGACCGCAAGTCACGCTTTTCATGATGCAAACTCAATTTGTCCGTCATCACCACGCGCATAAATTCCCACAAAGCCGGCAAAATTGGATTCCAGGCTAAAGCGACACACTTTTTTCATATTCAATCAAAACGTGTTAATTAATTTTGTCAAAGAAAATTACACTCCTTTCATGCCAGCCCGTTTTTGAGACGTCTCTCCCGCGGCAAATACACGTTACGCGTTGTGGCGCGTGTCGCTAATTGGACTAGCTGTGTCATCATTAAATTAACCGCTTCAGGTCGTGGGCAAGTGGTTTCACTCTCTCGAGCTCAACATCGACGAACTCGTGTGGAACAGAGGCTTGGACGTCATTCCCACTTCAGCTTGCTCTCTGCCGTGCGCTGTCGGAATGATCAAAATGCAACAGGTAAAAAACTAAAACTAACAAAACTCTTTTAGTGGGATTATTCAGCCGACGAGCTCAAATAAAGCACTTATTTTTAATTGCTAGATTTAACTCTTTAACTTGCGGCTTTGTTAATACTTCAACTATGATTTTAAAAAAAAACAGCCATCTAAATTCGCTATTTTATTATTATCTAAAATTTGTATATTATTCTGTAACATAACAAAAACTTTTATTTGCAGGGTGACACTTGCTGCTGGATATGCGACAAGTGTGAAGAGTATGAGTTCGTGTACGACGAGTTCACGTGTCGAGACTGTGGGCCTGGCAGGTGGCCCTACCCGGACAAGCTGTCCTGCTTTGACCTGCCGCTGCAGTACATGCGCTGGGACAGCCTGTTCGCCATTGTGCCCGCCGCCATTTCCTGCCTCGGGATCATCCTAACCCTGGGTGTCATGATTCTGTTCATTCGCAACAACGACACACCTCTAGTAAGTGAACTGCATTTAATTTACAATACAAATTAAAATCATTAGATTAATTTTACAAAAAAAACTTTACCTTTACAAAAATTTTCTTTGTAAATAATTATAACTACAATTAACTACTTTAAATTTCAATTACATCCATTAAATTTTTATATTTTATGTAGTTCAAAATTAAGTTTATTGTTTTCCTACAAGGCAATCTCTGCCTATAACAAGATACATCATGCAAATATTCAAAAGTTATAAATATAAAAACTTCAAAATTGAAGGGGAAAAATGCACATAAATTCTCTTGAAAAGCTTTTTGGTAATTCTTTTCTAATTTGATATGAAATTTAAAAATTTATTTTCATTGTACAAGTTTGTATTTAAATTACTCTCAATGATTTTTTTAACTCCAAAAACTTCAGGTCAAAGCCTCAGGTCGTGAGTTGAGCTATTTGCTGCTGGCCGGCATCCTGCTGTGCTACCTGAACACTTTCGCCCTGCTGGTCAAGCCAACCACCGCCTCCTGCATCCTGCAACGCTTTGGGGTCGGCGGCGGCTTCTCCATCATATACGGGGCGCTGCTCACCAAGACAAACCGCATATCGAGAATATTCGACTCGGCCGCCAAGTCTGCAAAGCGGCCCGACTTCATAAGCCCCAAATCGCAACTGATCATCACCTGCACCTTCATAGGCGTTCAGGTGAATGAAATGTATTGCTAAGCCCTTAATTATTACGATGATTATAATGTAAATTGTTTGATTTTCATTACTAATAGAGCACTTGATGTTTGAGTTCCCCGGCCGAACTAGGCTTACTTGCTATTTGTGTTTGGCAGAAGTGCATAATGTGCATATTAGGGCAGAGTTGAGAGAGTGTGTGCATAATTAATTATTAGATTTTGCCTTAGTTGCAAATACATTAAACTTTCTAAACAAGTCCATGCGTGTTGCAACTAACTACAAACACATTAGAAAATTAAACTTGTCTGTCGACTCTGCTCTCAGAAAAGTTACTTTCACATAAATTACACATTGATTGAATCTTGTATTTGTTTTGAACAAAATCTCTATGGACTGCAAATACTCGCTTTTGAATAATTTATTTTCTTTTGCTTTCCCTTGTGATATTAAATATTTGACTTTCCTTAACAAATAATAAATTGGGAAATTAAGCTTTCATATTTTCCAAAACAAATATAAACTCCGACCAATTTTCTAACAAAGTTTTTGTCCTCAAGCAAATCAATACCAAAGAACATAGAAACGCTTTTCATTTTGGTTTTGCAAACTTCGAGTAATGAAACTGCTTCTTGGTGTAACCGCAGGTGCTGTTCACGGCGGTGTGGTTGCTGGTGGAGACGCCTGGCACCAGGCACTACTACCCCGACCGCACGCAGGTCATCCTCAAATGCAAGATCCACGACTCGTCCTTCCTTATCTCGCAGGTATACAACATGTTGCTCATCACGATTTGCACCGTGTACGCGGTCAAGACCAGGAAGATACCGGAGAACTTTAACGAGTCCAAATTCATTGGCTTCACAATGTACACCACTTGCATCATCTGGCTTGCGTTCATTCCAATCTACTTTGGAACCGGCAATTCGTATGAGGTAAATTTTTAATACAAAAAAATCTTTTCTTTATTTGATTGAAAGAAATATAGATTGCGAATTGTTGGCTGGTGCCAAAATTATATTTTTATTTCAAAAATTTAGAGAAAATAAAAAATCATGCCAAATATTGATAAAAGTCCAAACTGTTCCAGATTCAAGTGACTACACTCTGCGTAGCCATCAGCCTGAGTGCTTCAGTAGCTTTAGTATGTCTGTACTCGCCAAAGATTTATATCATCGTCTTCCACCCGGACAAAAATGTCAGGAAACTCACAATGAACAGTGCAACTTACAGGAAAGCGCCTACCAGTAGCACTTCGGCAAATCACGCCGAAACTTTCTTGTGATTAACTCAATCAAAAATCGAGGTTTGTTTGAGCGATCCTTAAATTTGATTGAATCGACAAGTTTCTGGCAGCTGCCGGACGTGCTTACGGACAAAATAATTAAAAGAAATTTGAATTAAGAAAGCACTTCCGGCCTGCGTGGAGCTCTTTAATTTATATACAATTAAGAAAATGCTCAAAGTATTGTTCCACTAGGGATATGGGCATAAATCGCGCCTGGTGCGTTTTATGAAAATAATTCAATTCTAGCCAAAATCCTAAGTGTGCGCCTGTGAAATGCACTATGAACTATGAAGGATGTAATCAGAGAGATTGAGTGAGCCAGCCCGTCACAGGCCTCATTTGTGTATATGTGTGCATATGCGTCTTGTGCCATAATAAGAGATTATAATTTTCCTCCTGACATTGTAGCCAGTTGAAAAATTCTAAATTACGTGTAGATTAACGCGATCCCGTTGGGGATGGTGAAAGTTAATCTTTTGTTTTCCAAGTAGTGTTAATTTTTGTTGGGACTGACAGCGGATTTTAGAAATGTGCTCAAAGTCTTATTTTAATCTTTCTTAAGTCACTGCCAGAGGCAAATTAAAAAAAGCTCTTTCTAACCAGTTTGGCTAGTCAAGTTTTTAATTTCCTCAAAACTGAATAATTTTGAATCAGAGAAAGAAACAATCAGTAGATTATTTCTAAATTTTAATTTTTAGTAATTCCAATTTTGTGAGAATGAATAAAGCAAATGAACGCGAATCTTATTTATTTTGTACGCTGTGAACGTTAATGAGAGAGCAAAAATATTTTTGTCTTCAATCAACATCCTCCAAATAAAAATTTGCGCGTGTATATTAAAGACTGAATGTGTATCGATTCCATTAAACGGTGCGCTGCTGCTTAAAAAACGACAATTATTGAATTTCATCAATTGTTGCTGTGATTTTGAGATTAAGTTTTTCTCGTCTCTTGCTCGTTTTGTCGTGCGTGCATCTCCGTTCTGATCTAATGAATTCAGACGATATTATTATATTCGTGCAAGAGTACATAAAAAGTTTAATGTACAAACTAGCTTTTTAAAGCAAAAAATTAATCATTCCCAACCGAAATTAACTCAAATGTTACACCCACACTAAACAGGCAAATTCAGCCCACTCTGAATCACCTCCTGAAACTGAGCCTTCAGATTGGTCCAGCGGAGGCTGAATTTCGATATTGTACTACTTATATTAAATATCGCTCTCTCGCTCTCTCTCTCTCTCTTGCTCGTTGATTAATGGCAGTTGAATGTTTTTTAACTAAGTCGGTGTTTAAAATTTTAAGAGGATGAGAGTGTAAATGCTGCGATGGGCACATGTCGTGGGAAACAAAATACATATCAGCAACAGGGACTATCTTATTGACTAAGAAGCAAGCGAATACGAAAGTGTATGCATACCTTTGACGGACGTATGTATATTTCTATCCAGAAGACAACTTGTGAAAAATAAGAATGAAATCAATCTTGATCTATATTCGTTCAGATATCAACCAAGCAAACGGAGAAATAAATAAAGAACCTCTCAATTATAAAATGCGAGGAATATCTATCAAAAAGTGCGAAAAATGAAATATATATATCAAATTATATATCAAAAAAGAGATTTCTTGCATAGGCCGTGGATTATTATGTGAATTTTTTTTATACAGAGAGCTCTTAATACCAAAGATTACGTTCCATGCGTTTTATTGAAAATTCATTGATGTATAATTAATTAATGTGTATTTTTAATTTTTCAAGAAAATTTTCAATTACGTCAGAGAGATTCTCAATCTAGAGAAACACTGTGTATCTGCCTGCAATAAAAATTAATATTTCTATGTCATAAAAAAAGATAAAAATTTGCTGTTGGCTGTTCTCTGTGAACTCAAACTTGCACTGTAAGCGTAGGACATTCTGTAAAAAAATCTTATTACATTTATCTTTCACACAAAAGAGCTCTCTTGTTGTTGATTTAAATTATTGATTGTTTAATAAATTATTATTTACAGAAACAATTGTCTCTTTAATTAAAATTATTCTACCTTTCATAAAAGCTGAAAATTTAGGAAGATTAAAAAATCTGCTTTTCAAACTGCAAAGTTTTCAGATTCTTTTTTAATAAATTATTATTGTTAGTGAGGAGATTTTCTTAAAAAATGAAAGCTAAATAATGTCCATGTTTTTATATATTTAACCAGCATGATGTGGAAAAACAGAGATAGGACACACAATTGCAACATGATTGTCAATATATAAATAACTGTATGCGTAGATCTTTTAATACCGTACATTGATCAATTATAATGACTCTTGTCACCATTTTAGATTGGAAAATTTTGCTTTTAATATTTAATCATTAATTTTTGTCAAAGTTCAGAACAAGTTTTTGGCACATCTATAGTCCAAGTGATGGTATAAAAATTACATCATAACAATTGCTTAACGAATATTTTGTTTGATTTTTCAATTTTCAGAGAACCTTTTCTTCTGTATCCTGATGCAACTCAGGAGGAATAGCGTTTACCCAACAAGTACTCGTAATAATTTCAAGAATTTCTCTCATAACGTGCATTTACATAGACAGCAAAGTTACAAATTCCAAATTGACACCAAGATGCGCGTGACAAAATTTTCAATATAGACTTGAAACAGTAATACATGTTTGAAAACATTTCTTTCATTTTCCTCTCGGTCGATAACAATTTCTAGATAATATTCTCTTGAAAAAGGTACAATATTTTTATCAGTTACAAAATATTTTAAATTAATCATACGTTGAAAACGTTGTTAAATTGAGGAACTGAATGTAAGTATTGAACAGGAGAGTTAAGTGCCGAGGAAATGTCGCTTCATTAAAATTTTATATAATATATATAATTCTGGAAAGTGGCTTCAAATGGCATTAATTTTTGTTTAAATTTAAATTCATAAAAATTTTAGCCTAGTGAATTTGTTAAGCCTTAGTTAAAGATTTCCTTTGCGTGTTAATCTCTTTTCTTTTGGCACTATAAGGCGAAGTGTTTGGTTTTACTTTGAGTCAAAAATGCTAAATCTGCTCTCAAAATTTTGAAGTTTAGGTTCTAATAATATACAATAGTAAATATGAACGCTTTGGCAAAAGGACATCAAATCTCGGGGCGAAACGTGTTTCAAATTTGCTCTCTCATTTTCAAAATGGGCCCAAAAGGTAGCCAAGATCACTAATCTTTTAGTGCCGCTTCAAGTTCCTCAACTTGGACCAAGAAGTGCGAGTCAGACTAAACCACTACAGAGAAATTGGTTCGTTTGTCATTCATATCTCAATTCTTTTAGGCAGGATTTCAGGTGGACTTGTGGAAGGAATAGTGCGTGAGATTAAGTGTGCGGTGAGCAGTGCCGCCGCGTGTCGGTCCGCTCTTTATATTTTTGAAAAAGTTCCAAATTTGCATTGAAAAGCGGAACCGACGGGCGGTCACAACGCGTCTAACGCTCACAGAAAATGTGACCACTTTACAGATGTTGACAGATTATATTCGAACAATCCACAATGGAAACCATCAATCAACATTGTTCTCTCGCGGGTCACGTCAAAAACTCGAATCATTTTTCATTTCCGTCTAGCTGGGAATCGTTTACAATTATAAATTTTTGAATCCATCAATCACAATAATAATCAATAGAATACATACCGAGTCCGTGTGAATCTTTTTTTTTATGTGTGTGTCACAATATACAGTATGAAAAAAGGCACTTTTCATTCAAGTATAAAAACACCGTTTTAAATATCTTATACATCCCTAACTAGCCGCAGAGTTCGTTTCTCACCGGCCGGCTGACGAAGAGTCTTTCTCACAATCACATTTGATTTCACCTTAGATGAACACAACCAGTGCAGAGAATTGCTTCAAATAAGATGCAGAGCAGTGGTAAACAATGAAAAAGTAGTACTTTCTCTCGCAACAACAGAAGTATAAAAAATTATCGAGTCGCGCGCGCACTGTCCGAAGCAGCAACCTAGCACGACAAACTAGCGCCCGCTCTTGATGCTATAAGTCTTCAGTGTTCTGCTGCCGGAAGGACAAGGGCCGGCCGTGCCGCTCCTGCAGCAACAACTTGTGCGCCGCCCTGTCCATCTCCTCCTGCGTCATCTCCAACGCCTCCTGCATCTCTTTCGAGGCGTTGCGCACAAATTCGGGGTCGCAGTATTTCCCCAGACCCTGCTCAGCTAAAACCTGTTGAAAAGATTTAAAATTTTTAATTTGAGAAAAAAATTGAAATTTGGAATAAAACAACTATTTGAACTATTAGATTGAAATATTATAATTTTGGAAACTTACACGTCCAACCAAACTCTCTGCAGAGCCAATGACTCCGAAGTTTGGTCTCCTTTCAGCTGGGCTTCCTGGAAGAGAATGAGACAGTCTCTCAGTGGACAGGCTGGCGCTGGAGTCGCGATGCTGGGACTCTGTTGGACATGCGGTTAGTCAGAAAACAAGCCAAACACACAAACTCTGGGTTAATATCAAAGAGCAACCAGCACAGAGGGAGAAGATCTATTACAAGAATGTTTCCGAGGACAAAACTATAAAATACAGACTTGGCAGGTTGCACAATATTAAATTGCTGAGACATGTATTCGGACCAAATTTATTTGTAAAAATCAAAATTACTGCAAAATTAACTATAAAGCTACCAAAATTTTAACTAAAAACTCCTTTAAATAATTGATCAAAATATTCTACAATTTATTTGTTCAAATTTTATTTATCTGAAACAAACTGAAAATTCTGCGTTTTTTTTTTTGAGCTCTAATTATTGAGCGTACCCCTTCCGTGGAATGACGCTCTGTAGGTCAAGGGTGAGGGGTAGCGCGAGGAGAGCCGCTGGTCGATGGTAGCCTGCGAGGAGCGGCGTCTCACAGGTGCCTCTTCCGGCGCGAACCCGGCCACAGCCATGGCCTGCGTTTGGGCCAGTTTGAGGCCGCCGGCGATGCGGCTGAAAGGCTCGCCGCCCTCACTTTGCTGGCGTCCAATGCAGCCCAGCCGGAAGGAGCCGCTTATGCGCGACAGGTGGCGCCGCGGGGGCGGCGTTGGCGGCGTCACCTCGGGACTGTGATCCTCCATGCTGTTGCGCAAAACGCATGCAAATCGTGCACAATTAGTAAAAATGGGATTTTCAAAAATTGAACTGATGTAATAAAAGAATTTAATTTTTTATTATTTAAAAGTTGTAGAAGCCAAGAAGAAATTGGATAAATTTTTGCCTCGATCGCATTTTTCTTCATCTCTCGAGCAACAGTAATTATTGTTAATCAAACTAGATCTACTTTTGTCAACGTATAATATTATTGTTAAGAGGAAGGTAAAACTCTCACAGCAAAACTCATGGGTTCGGAAAACTTATTGTTACATCTCATTGTCAGGCTTCCACTCGAAAACCGCTGATCTTACCGTAATTATTGGATGGGTGTATAAACTGCCCACCACTGCGTAACAATTTAAAAATTAACCAAAAATAAAGTGTATGTATGCAACCTGCTGCATGCCAACGTGCAGCCAGTTGCATACGTTGGAATTTTGAAGTTTTGAATCAGTTTGAATAAATTTTTGCTTACTCGACTATTGTGTATCTATTTTCTGGATCTCCGTTCGACACTTTGAATCTCCTGGAAGGGATGTCCTCGTCCCTGAAAACTGCGTTGTCGCCAACGGATATCGAGCTAGAAATATGTTTTTAATAATTCATTTATTTCACATTTTCCTAAATTTTTACCTCCCCTTGTGAGGGATCAAGTTGTTAATTAGATTGTTCATTCCCGCATTGATATTTTGCGAGATGTCTTTCTGGAACGAGTTGAGCGGCTGCAACTCGACTGAATTTGTTGGAGACACCTGCGAGCGAATAATCTTTCAATATATCTTTTTACACTTTCTAGAAATAAAAAACTTTAGAGAAATAATGAATGGCGAAGCAAAATTTTCATCCAGAGAATTATTTTGCAGACTTAGTTTTGACAGCACCAAAGTTATAGCAGCATAATTTTAAATTTTTTATACCATCGAATTGTGCCTTATTAGAAGCAAAATCATGCTGTGCTCTCTTGTAAGTTTTTAATACTACAATTATACTAAATTTTTTAAATTAATTCTATATTGCTAAAAAAATGAAAGAATTGTGTTTATTGCGTAAATAAAAAGTAATGAGTAGTAAATAAAATTAGCTAGAACATGGAACATGATGTTTTTGAACAAGATAAAATTCTACAGAGGTGCAGAGAGAAAATTTTGGAAAAGCTAAAGAATGTGCATTTCAGTAGAAAGGTCGACAATGAAGGGCAGGCAAAATATCATGCAATGCTATTAAGCAACTATGTAAATGCAAAAACAGACAAGAGTGTATAATGAGAGTTTTGAAGGTAATATACCTTTCTAAGGTTTCTTCCTGGTACATCCAAATGATTAATCTGCAAGAAGGGAATCGTACATACAACAATGAAGGCTTTCTACACACCAAAGACGTAGCTTGAGAAAAGAGAACTTTCAGGAAAGAACACTTAGCAAATTTTCAGAAGTGGCATTATTATTTAATTAATTGGTCAATATGTGGGGCGAAAATTCAATGAACACAGGGGTATCACAAATTTATTAAAATCTCAAGTAAATATTCAGTTTGAAAATATATTCTCATAAAAATGACGGATAGAGAGAAAGAGGCGCGATCAAGGGGCGTCAAAGAACAAGTCAGGGTCACTGGTGGGAAATTGAGTGCTTTTTCTACATGCAATTGTGCTTGTGATTCTGTGGAAAGAAATCAATTTATAGTTCTTACCTTTGGTTGAGCGTTTTTCATAGATCGAGCTCGGAATGAATTGTGGCCTCTCCTCATGGAAGACCAAACACTTCCAAAAAGCGAGTGATTTCGCTGAAAATAATTTAATTTAATATTATCCTAATCAAAATTAATTCTAAATTACCCTGTGCATGGGCTCAGGATTATCATCTATCAGCTCTTCAAGGTTGCCAGAGATGGCCCTCTTCAATTCGGGTCCAGCATCATGAAGAGTGCGCAGACCAGCCTAAAATTTAGAATTTCAATTAAATTTATTTTGAAATAATGATTTAAAAAATAAAACGCACCTGCAGAGTAACAGTGTTGAGGGACTCTTTATCCCCTCCTTGATTTTCTTCCGCCTTTCGTTTCTTGAATCTTCTGAAATAATCTTGTATGAGGAATGTTGCGTAGAATTTACCGACCGTGACTTCGTCATCAACTAAAAATATCAGATCATTAGTGAAGAAGTGCATAAATTATATTCAGAATTATTAACCTCCAGGTGGTGGTACCACTTGATCAAGTAACTTCGGGTTCGTCCTTTTCCAAATTTTCTTGATCACTGCGCGCAACTCGCCGTTGGCGTCGTCGATGTTGCCTTCAGTTTTTATTCGGAGGGACGTCCGTACCACAGCAAATAGTGTTGCGTTGAACAATACCGTTCCGTCACTGTTCAGTGGCATATTCATGGACACCAGACGCTGAAATTGCATTCAAAATTTTAATATATATTATTTTCATATTTTAATTTATTATGGAATGAAATCATAAAAAAGTTAATTTTATTGAAGAATCCTATTATTATAAACATGATGGTTGAAAAATATTTAAATTAAAATTAAAGAAAATTGGAAATTTGAATAAAAAGAATTGTTTTCAAAGTTTTTTCCCTAATTTAATTTTAGACAAAATATTAAAAAAATCTAATGTCAATATTTAGTAGGATCAAAATTGATTAAAAAAACTTGAATATTTTCAATATTTCTAAAAGTATAAAATGTTTTGAAATTCAATCTATAAATAAATTCATAATTTTTTTAATGTAAATGTAATTTTTAGTAAACATATGAATATTAATTTATTTCTCATCAGCCTTCTTCGCAGATCACTTGAAATCAATTTATAAATTTTTAATTAATTTTAATACCTTGCAGGCCACTCTATGAGGACACAATTTGCCGAATCCGAGAGGCGGCGAAATCTTCCTCAACAGAGTAACAACGTCGAGATGTTTGATTCTCCCTTTGGCGTCAGGGTCGTATTCGCTCCACAGGCGGATGAACTCGTCAAGGTGGTGAGGGCCGAGGATGGACCAATCTCTGGTCAGGTAGTCAAAGTTGTCCATGATGACGGCCACAAACAAGTTGATGATCTGCAAAAAGTAGGGAGAGTGAAACTTCCACTTCCCCTGCCTCCCTAAATCTCCCCCCACTTTTGCCAGCCGATGTGATTTAGTTTGTTTACTTTTTTTGTCAGTGACATTGTTGTTGTTTTGCGAGGTGTTTTTCGTGTGATTTTGCTTACCAAAAAGGAGCAAAGGACGTAGAAAGAGATGAAGTACGGAAAGGCGATGCTGGAGCCGCAGTCGTGATAGGAGGTCACGTCGTCAGCCCGCAGGTCGCAGCGGACTTCGCCAGGACGCGACGAACAGTCCATCATGATGTCCTGCCAGGCCTCACCTGCGACGGAATTCGCCGTTAAAGGTCAGTTTGAATGCAAAATTTTGTAAATCATACCTGTCGCCGATCGAAAAAGAACCAAAACCGCCTGCGGAAACGTTTGGAAATTGTTGTTTCTGTGGATGGCCGTTTCCGAGTCCAACGCAATTTTGCCAAACATCTGTCAGAATATCAAAGAAATTTTGCATTAAGAACATTGCCTTTGGTGACGCAAAAATTTAAAACGGTTATCTCAATAGAACTTAAATTATGAATTTGATTTTAAATTTATTGAAAAGGGAAATGTTAGTCTTTTGTTTTTTACATTTATTATTCCAAAATGGGGGCTAAATTTTACATTATAATTTTCCAAAAAACACCAAAAAGAGTTAATAAAATTGAAATAAACCATTTAAATAATACTTTTTAATCTATTTTTAATGATTTTTTGTTTCATTTTATTTATTTTTTTATTGATTTTTTATTTCTATAGTTTAATAATTAATTCAGGGCAGTGTTTTTTTATCCAAATTTTTTAATATTCGTTCATTTTTATTTTTATTAACTATTTCAGATCAGTGTTTAGGAATACTCATTCTTTTTTAAAATAAATTTTAATTTGAAATCCACTTTAATTAACTTAAATTTGCAAGATGTTATTCTTCAAGATTATTCATAACAAAGAAATTAAATTTAAATCGACACTTGCCTGCATGCCAATGACTGCGTAGATGAAAAAGAGCATGACGATGAGCAAGGCGACGTAGGGCAGCGCTTGGAAGGACTTGATGAATGTCCAAAGCAGCGTCCTGATGCCCTCACCTCTGCTCAGAAGTTTGACTAATCGCATGACACGAAAGAGTCGGAAAAAGTTGATCGAGATGATGTTGGTGCCCGGCTGCAAATTTCAGTCGAAATTACTTTTCAATCCTAACAAATTAAATATCCAGATTTGCATATATAGAGGGCAGGGAGACTATTTCTGCAAGAGTTAGTTACATTCGGTACAGTAAGAGGTGCGATGTTGTTTTTTACTCTCTCGAGATGGTAATGTATAAAAATATTGGAGACAAATCACTATTTAAATTAGTTTTTGCTAGCTTTAGCAGTCATGCCTTTATGTGTTAAAAAGAAACTCCAGCATTATTAGCAGCGATACGAATAATAATCCAACAGGGGGAAAGGGTTTTGTACAAAAGATTTCTGCTAATAATAATCGCTCTGCAACTCCGAGATTGCTCGGTAAACAATCACATTAGTCAATTTTATAGACAAAACATTATGTGATGTGAAAATATGATTAATTTTTACAGGTGTGTGCGTATTTACGGAGTTAGAATAAATATATATCTGCCTATCTAAGTGAAAAAAATAAAATATGTATAGTTGAGTCGTGGAGAAAAAATCACGTAAAAATAAGAAAAAATTTAAACAAAATCTGCGCTAGAAAATTATAAATATATATAATATGGTTTATAGAAGTAGAACGCACCACAAACCTTTTGCATTTTTGTCGGGGTCTGAGACGAAAAGTTTTTATTAATAGTTTGAGACAGAGATTGAAATTTATTTAATTTTCGCAGTGGTGGTGGTGTTGGTTGGAAGACATGGAATAAAACGAATGTTAGTTATAATAACGTCAACATAAAGAGTACACGAAACAAGAAAACATCGAAAATTAAAATTTCATCAACATGAGTTGTATATAAATTTAATTAAAAGCGTCTGTTCCTATTTATATATCATTTAAATTATTCAAAATTAGGCCAAATAATTGATCTTGATATTATAAAATTTTGACACCTGTAGTTAAAATTATTTCAAATAAATCTGTCCTAAAATCAAAATACTCACGTTCACTTCCGAGTACACGATATCAATAAAACTGCCCAACACGATGATGAAATCGAACACGTTCCACGCGTCTCCGAAGTAGTTCTGCGGAATCAATTTAAGGAAATGTTCAGGAAAAAATTAATCACAATTATACTTTAAATCGGAAAGCGGCCAATTTGAAGACAAACTCCATGGCGAAGACTGCCGTGAAAATCATGTTCAGCACGTCCAGAGCGTCCGTGTAGTACTGAGGCTGGTGATAAAACTTCATCGCCAAAGTGATGGTGTTTATCATGATTAGTATGAAGATCGTGTACTCGAAGGGCTGCGACGTGACGAACCACCATATTTTGTATTGGACTCGATGTTTTGGAATGTATCGCCGCACTGGCTTTGCCTTTAGCGCAAATTCTATGCAGTTACGCTGAAATATTAATTTTTTTTTATAATAAAAGGTCTTAAAGAGGTACACCGGTAATTATTATTTTTATAAAAAACAAAATTTCATGACCAACAGCAAAATCGTGATAAAAAAATTCGCAATCCCTGAGCTTCAAACTAGAGCTTGATCGCAGGTTAAACTTTTCGCGCCAAATGAATTTGAACCTCAAGGGAAGATAGTCCTGATTGCGACATCACTCAATTAGGCTAAAATAGCCAAAATTCTTAAAGACTTGTACCGAGGCTCAAATTCTTTAGGCGCGAAAACGCAATTCCCGATTATTAAGGGAGAAAATTTTCCAGTAGTTGCTATTTTTTTACAATAATTTTGACCGTTTTTCACACTACAGAGTAAAAATTTACTTCCCTTTAAGAACTAAATCTATGTCTTTTTTTACTTTTGAATTTGAGCTATTTTAATATTTTAAATCTTCACCTGATTTTTATCTAATTCACAATTCTTGTACTCTTGCTCTCCCTCGTTCTGGAACGTGACAATGACGAAACCTACGAAGATGTTGACCATGAAGAAGGCAATGATGATGATGTAGATAATATAGTAAATCGCCACAATCGGCCGAAAGTTGTGGATTGGTCCGTAGTCCTCTGTGTTTGAGTCGATTGACGCGTACAAGAGGCTAATAAAAAAAAGAAACAATTTATTTTATTTGAATTTTAAGCGGAAAAAATACCCAGGCCAGCCTTCAAACGTCGACACCGTGAACAACGTTAGCATGGCTTTGGAAACATCATCAAAATGGAAAACGTTTCTGGACCACGTCCGATTCCGTACTTCCGGTTTGTTTATATCGCCTCCTTCAAATATTAGGTAATTGCCACTGTAAATAAATAAAAATTAATTGAATTAAAAATTAAATATAATCAACAAGGAAACATCAATAATTTTTGTCAATTGAGATTTTTATATTGAAATTGAGATTAATTTTTTTCAACTCACTGGCATTCCGTTTCAGTCATTTTCGAGGCGTCAGAGCAGCTAAAGAATTTTCCCTGCAAAAGAATATTAATAAGTACACTGGCCAAACATATCTTTATTCTATACATTTCAATATTGTGTGCAAAAATTGCCATTTTACTTGTCGCGCTCGCAGACCTTTCGGTCGTGCGAACACTTTCCAAGTCAAAACGACCCGTTTTGCGATACATTTCTCATCGGAATTCGCAAACCAACACCAAATTTAATGAAAAGATGCACAAGTGAGAAAACGACACACGCATTCGCCACGGACAAAAAGCGTCAGCGAGCATGCTTGCGACAACAGACACGCACGTGCTGAATATCTTACGCAAATTAGGGCTTTTACAAATTACTTTGCAGCAGGTGTGTACACAGCCATGAGAATAGCAAGAAGGATGAAGAGCCTAACTACCGCAACTAGATATATGAGTTTTTGATTAATCGACGCGAAATTCGCACTTAATAGGTCAATATGATGAATGGAAAAATAAAATGTATTATATTAAATCCAACTCTACTGTACGAGAAAGTCAACCTATATAATTATGTGTGTATGTAGTCGTGATTTCAAATGAGAGCGAGTCCGGGTTTATGATGAACAACGATATAGTGACAGAGTGAGGAAAATCAAGTGTATGACCGAGAGATTCCAGGGAAATCAAGGAGGTGTATAGATTATGATTTTGATGTATATATGGTACAAAATTAAAAAACAAACAGTAAAAATCATCTGGACACTGTTGGTTTTGGTAAAAATAGTATGGATTTTGAAGTAAAAAATCGAGAGAGAAAAAAATATATATATATGGAATATATAACCAGTAAAAGTGTACTAAAAATAATAATAACGAGAGAATTTCGGGCGAGTGTTTGAATTAATTACCTTAAAAAGTTGGACTCCTATCACGGCGAACATGAACTGAAGGAGGTATGTAACCAACATAATATTGCCAATGGTCCTAATGGCAACTAGTACACATTTCACTACATACTGAATATATAAAATCAAAATTAAAATCCAGTCAGTCAAGAAACAGGAGAGAGAGTTATATATATATGTGTTTGTTTGGAAAACCGATTATTTTGTGGGCGAGAGATATATCATATGGTTTAGTCACTGTGACAGAAGGGGGTAGGGGTGAATAAAAAATGAAATTAAAAATAAAACCAATCAAATTATATTATTCGTGCCCTCTTTTTGCGATTACGAGAACTTCTTGCCAAATGCACCTTTGAAGATAATATATATATTACATGATCAAGAACTAAAAGATTATATATAATAGAGATGAAGAAAAAGACCAGCAGCTTTACAGTAAATGTCAGAACTCATGAGATTATTCCAACTCTATGAGACAAAAGAAAAGTTAGGCCCTGCGGACTACCAGCACACATATGTAAGCTTGGGTTGAGACGCGCGGCGACTGCAAAATAATGGAATAAGAATGCTTTTAGAAAGGAAGTCTGGTCCTTAGTCACTGTTTATTTACAGAGCGTCCATTTGGATTAATTAATAACAACAATTTATTTACTGAATGGAAATCATTAATTAGCCGGCACGAGTTGCAACGAGCCGTTTGCAATTTACAGCATTTTTTTTTAATTATGGTGTCTGCTGGGTATATATATTTAAAAATTTCTTGAAGTAAGTCTTTTTCGTTTCTAATAAGACTAAAATTTTTGCTATTTATTTATTTAAACCAGGCCTATTCTAGGGAAGTTTAAAAATAATTTAATTATAAAATTTCCTACTTTATTTATGGAAGGGATTTAATTTTCCCAGACTACTATATGAATGGATGATTGATGATTTAGTAGCGAAAAGATGATTAATATTTACGAATGCAGAAGAGAATTTGTTGAAAATTTTAATTGTTTGATTGCAATAATGAAATATGGCCCTAATTCAACAGGTGGCCTCTGATTTTAATAAAACGTGAACTGATAGGAAAGCTTCAGAGAAATGAACAGAATGAACTTGAGTGTCAAAGAATGCGCTTGAAAGAAAATAGCAATACATGTAAATGTAATGTACAAAAAGAAAGTAGCGTGTGATGGGTTTGAAAACTCTCTCTCACTGCTGTCAAAAATTATTAAAATTAAAGTGTGTGTTTCCGACACAGTCGAGATATCCTGAAATTTTATTTCAATGAATCTATGGAGAAGCCACTCGAGTATATAAAAAAAGAATACTTGATTCTCATGCTCTATCTCTAATCGGACAAGAAGAAGTAGTGGACTAGCTGTTTTTGCCCAAAACGATATAATTATATGAAAGTTGCAAAGAGAGACACATACAATATGAAAATTATAATTCATTGTTCTCCTACGATCTATTTAGTTCGCTAGTCGATCTGAATAAAAATTTAGCTTTTTTAAATTATGAGACACGTGAACAGATATTTTTGTAATATGTCATAAAAAATGAGAGACGCACAGTAATTTGCAATTTTATGGTCTCCCAGAGTGAAAAAGATATATATAATGAGTTGTGACAGTCACATGCAAGATTATTGTCTCAAACGCTCATTAGAGAGGTGAAGAAGAACACTTCACACACTGACATTAATCATGGCAATCAATATTTTGAGAGAAATTCCACGAAGAAATCGTTAAACAGGGCTGTTATCAATTTTACTTAATTTAAATTTGGTAATTTAATATATCGACTTCTAATTTTGATTTCTAAGCCCCGTTTAACTACACTCAAAAACACCAAAAGTCGCAAAAAAATAACGCAAAATCCATCAACAGATATATGAAATTATTCTGTGAGGAAAAGGTCAATCAAGGAGATAATTATTAATTATATGAATTCCAAAAGAATTTACTCGAGGTGGAGAGTAAAAGTAATTAATCTAAAGGCGGTAATTAACACACAAGAAAGAGTGTGAAAGGAAATGGAAGAGAAACGAAATAGACGACAGAAAGAAAGACGAAGGAAGGAAGATATATTTATAATTGAAGGCGGTGTGAGAGGAAGAGAGAAAGTATAGAAATGAGTAGAAAATAAAAATAATAAATGATTGGTAAATCAAAATGATAAAAAATAACACCCCAAAGAAGTGCATTTGCCAATAAGACATGGATCACGTCATGTTTCAGAATAAATCTGTCAATCTGCAATTGAGGGCGTACCTTAAACAATTGGACTCCAATTACAGCGAACATGAATTGCAGGAGACATGTAACTAGTACAATGTTTCCGATAGTCTTTACTGCGACAATCACGCACTGGACTACATGCTATAATGCGTAAAATCAGCATTTAATCAAGTGTTAACCTTGGGGGAATCGTTTGGGGGGAGCAAAATGTTTAAATCTCAAAATTAGAGAGCAAAAATGTTTTGGAGTCTCTGCTTGTGTTAAAAAGAGAACAAAATAAATCGAGATTATTGCAATTTTCGGCTGATTAATCATTGCTGAAATGAGACAAAACGAAAATAATTGTTTTTTTATATCAAAACTGCTAAATCGGAAATCGGGAGAATATTTTTCTTATTTTTTTTTAAACAGTTACTTTTGTGTAAAATTGTGTGAAACTTCAAGTTACCTTCAGTCCTTTGGCTCTGTTAATGGCTCTCAGTGGACGCAACACACGAAATACACGGAGGATTTTAATTACTGAGATAGCACCCGAACTGGAAAAATGTGTCTCGTTTTTAATAAATTGCATTAATTTATAAATTCTCACCTAAAGAAAATTGAAATGAGCGAAACGCAAACGACCAGCAAATCGAGCAAGTTGAACGAAGACCTGCAAAAGGCACCGTCGTGCAAAATAAAGCCGTAGGAAATCATCTTCAGCATAAGCTCGATGGTGAATACGGTGGTGAAGAAGTAATCAAAGTAGTTCAGAAACTGCAAAAGATTTGGCATGAAAATAAAAATATTTAAAATTGCATGATCGACTTGCCTGGTTTCGGGGCGAGTTTGCCCTAAGAGGATCTTCGGCCGCAAGGAGGGCGGAAGAAATCATGATGCACACCAGAATGATGTTACCAAAGAGGCTGTGGTTGCAGAGCCAGTGGCAGAAAACACGAATTCTGAAATGGTTTATAAATTAAAAAAAAAAATCCAAAGATATATTAAAAAATGAGAAGCAGTTAAATTCTTCCGTGAAAATTTTATAACACAAAAATTCATCAATACAAGTAACAGAATATTCAGGCAAGCAAGGTTCAATAATTTGAAGCGGTTAATTAATTAGAGGGAAAAATCAAAAAATTCAAAAGTGAACATTGAAAACAAAGCTGCAATTTTGTGTTGCTGTTGAAAGTGGTTGCAGGTTGGTGAACCTAGAGCTATTTAAAAAAGAAAGAATTGTTTTTTTTTCAACACTGTTTTCCTTCTTAAGAAAAAAAATTGTATAATATGGGAAAAATCAATTTTAATTGTGGATATTTCCTGTGTTTTGTTAGCAGTATTTACATCCAAGAACAAAAAATTGCTAATTAATCATCTAACATTGATCATAAGTAATAATACAGTATAAAGCATAAAATTATAATTACAAAAAGTAATTTATATTAAAATTAGGGAGCTTTAAACTCTTAGTAAATTTGCCTAATTCTGGTTATTCAAAAATTTTGTGTTTAATTCAACGTGCAGAGTTTAAATCACCCAAAATTCATACATCTACCAAAGCATTGGAATTTTGCTCTAATAACAAAAAAATCATAATTTTCTTTAGGAACTCGTAGAAGCGGAAACAATATAATGATTCTGATTCGCCAGCCAAAGTTCAACCTGTTGGTCTCGCCAAAGATGAAAAAGGCGGAGGCGTGTGGAATGGGCTGTTTCTTGTTGCTGGCCGGCGCGGCCGACGCTCGGCGCTTGGGCAGGGCCGACACCTCTTGTTGCAAATCCTGGTCCTGCTCCTCCTCGTCCTCGAGTTCCTCCTCGTCCTCCAAGCCCTCCTCGTCTTCGAGCTCTTCGTCTTGGGTGTTAATGTCACAGGGTGGAGACGAAAGGGTGGTGAGTCAAAGGGTGGCACGCACGCAAAGAGAACAGACAGGGGAAAAGAGAGATTAGTACCGGCGCCACCTTTTCCACATACCTGTTCGTATGGGAAAAGATAAAGAAGGCGCTCCCTTCCGGGAGAGGGTGCACCGTCGTTTTAATGCTGAGCTCGGAGAGACGGCGCGGCCGCGCAGAACTTTTGCGCGGCCCGTCGCCGCCTCTCTCCTCCTCCATTTCTTCCTCGTCCTCATCAACTTCCATGTGTATATCTTCCTCTTCTGCTTGGGACCAAAACAAAAGCACAAAAAACTTGGGAGGTGCCGCCAAAAGCCCAAATTAACCCAAGCTCTTTATTAAGATTTTTAATTAAATTAATCTATGATAAATTGAAAATTTAATTTGTTAACAAGAGATAAGTTATTACGATGAATTTAATTTTATAATAATTCATTTATATTAAATTTGTTCATTATTTGTGCAATCTTAAATTTAGTTTCAAATGTATTCTCATATCAATCTGATTTGATTTAACATTACTTAAAATTTAATAGCAATTTTCAAAATTGAATCTTTTTAATTGGTTTTTCCATTTAATTATTGCTGATATTACATTGTCATATTAAATTTTCAATAGTTTCAGAGTTTCAATTTAATCTAAAATTTTAATTTACGTCTGAACCTGAAATTTACATTAAAAAGTATGCATTTTATAAATAACCTTTTTCAATTTTTGGCACCAATTCTTAACCTCCAAGTAAAAACAATAAGTAATCCATCACGAAATTTAAGAAAAGCTTCTATTACCTGCATTTTCTTGGTCCTCGTAGACGTACTCCTCTCCATCCTCTCCGATCTCTATTCGGACCTTTGCATGGCTGCCCGAATCCTCCTTTCTGCAACGCCAAATCATGAGATTCCCCCTTTTTTTCTTATTTCAAAACACGCACAAGTTTCCATCTTCGTCAACAAGCTCCTCATCAACGGCACCCTCTTCCGCTTCCTTCTCGCCGTCTGCAGCTACAACTGATCCCTCTTTTTGTTCTCCCTGCGACGGACAAAAAGGATGTAATCAGGTTACAATTGTGTAGCAAGAGAGAAATATCCATTTCTGCCTCTCGCCATTGTTTCCGAGATAACTCATGACAGCAACGGGGCAATGAATAGTGGTTACTAAATTGATTCCGGCTTACCTCGGCTGCTTCCTCTTCCTTTTCAACGTCTGATAGTGACTCGGCATCTGCCAAGTTGTCCACAGCGATAGCCAAGAAGACGTTCAATAGAATATCTAGTTTGATCAAGTGAAGGAAAAATGTATTTTTTTTTTAATTAATTAAAAATATTTGGATTTTGAGTATTAATTTTACTATTTCTTTTACTTCACTCTGATTTAAGCACTTAAAAAAAGCTGATTTTGAAAAATTTAAAAAAAGGATACAGTTGCCGCAAATGAAGAGAATGATGAAGTAAATGCACGCCAGAATTCCAATTGATGAGACGCCGCCGTACGATCTGATGCCATCGTACATGACCGCATTCCAATCTTCACCCGTCAATATCTAAAAATGAAATATGTAGGTCAATCACTCTTTTCCTTTTTTTTCTTTTTTTTAAATATTTACTTGAAACACCGTGAGCAAACTCTGCCAAAACGAGTCGAAGTTGCTCCTCGGCTTGTCGACGGTGCTGTCAAAGTCGAACTTGCCGCCGAACACCTGCATGCCCAGCAGAGCGAAGATCATGATGAACAAGAAGAGCAGCAACAGCAGGGAGGCGATCGACTGGATCGAGTTGAGCAACGACGCGACCAGGTTGGACAGAGACTTCCAGTACTTGGTCACCTTGAACACCCTGAGCAGACGCACGCAACGCAGCACTGACACGCCGAGGGGCGGCATCACGTCTGTGTTGGTCAAGATCATTTCGCTTATGCTGCCGATCACGACGAAGCAATCAAATCGGTTGAACAACGACATGAAGTAACCCTGAAAAAAATTATAATTATTAATCAAAGAAATATTTCTTTAAATTATTTAAATATTATAAAATTGATTTAATGTTCTAAGTTAATGAAAAAATAAAATAAGTTAAAAGAAATCTAATTAAATTAAATAAAAAGTTAATTTTTTTATAAATTTGTATAAATTCAATAAAATTCTCACCTGGAAGCCTAAACTGTACATTTTGACGAACATCTCCATGGTGAAGAGACACACAAAAACCAAATTGGTAAGCTCTGCAAAAGAAACCCAGGATAAGTAAAATCATCCCTAATTCGACGTCACGACTTGTAGTATGCATTCCGCGTCGCTAAAGAGACGTGCGGATTGCCTAGCCATCGTTTGGCAGGCGACTTGCCTTGGAACGTGTCGAGCCAGAGCGGCTGCTTGTAATGCTCGGTGGCGAGGACGCCCGTGTTGAGAAACACGAGAATGATGATTAACCAGTAGAAGGTCTGCGACTTGACCGCCACCCTACACTTTCGCCGCAGCCGCCTGTTGGCTCTGTGAAGCGCAAGAGATGAAAAAACAGCAAAAATAAAAACACAAAAAGACTCACTTGTCGAGGCCTCGTTTTTTCTTCGCCCACCACGACTCCTGCTGAACTTCGCCCTCGTTCTCTTCGTTTTCCGCGTCACCGGTCTCGTTTGCGAATTTGGCTACAGCGTTTGAGAATTTTTTATTTTGCCTCCGAATACGGTGGCGAACCTACCTTTGTCCGCGCCCTCGGCGTCGATGTCTTCCGCCTGGGTGATCCACTCGAGGTAGCCTTTGAGATCCTCCTCGATTTGCTGCTTCTCCCGCAACTTTTGAAAGTCGCCTCGGGCCTTGGCTTTCTCTCTCTCCTTGGAGAACTCTCCGCTCAACACACCGAGAATCAGGTTCATGACGAAGAAAGCGCCCAGGATGACCATCGAGATAAAGTAAATCCACTGCCAACTGCTTCCCATCGCGTCTTGAATCTATTTCAAAAGTGCTTAATTAACTATTCCAAGAGAAAAAATTCAAGCTGTAATTTTTTCCAAAAGATTTCCGAATTCAACAATCACAAACATTTACTTCTATTGTTGTAAAGACTTGTTTTGACTTTGCAAATAAATATTCTTGAAGTTTTTTTAATAAAAATAATTACGCTATAAAGAACGTCTGTCCAGCCCTCCAGGGTGACGCACTGGAAGACAGTGAGCATAGCGAGGCCAAAGTTGTCAAAGTTGGTGATGCCCCAGTTAGGTCCGTCCCAGCCGTCCCTGCACACCATATCTATCCACTCGCATTGGAAGCCACCGTCTCCGCACGGATGCGGCACGTCCATTTCTTCCCCTAAAATTTAGATTTTCGTTAAAAAAAAGTGTTAATTAAAAACTTGCACATTTACCTGTGACGTTATTGACGCACGTTTTATGCAATTTTCCTGAGAATAATTCGAGACCTATGATTGCGTAAATGATGATAACAAACAACACCAAAAGAGCAATATGCAGCAAAGGCACCATGGCACGTAGAATTGAATTCAAAACAACTTGCAAACCTGAAACACGCGAGAAGAGAATCAGTACATATACGGTGCGTCGCTCTTGAAAAGGAGCAGTCGGCCGTCAGTAATCGGCTTAAGGTGTGTGTTTTTCGAATAAAAGGACCCAATCATCTGGAAGGGTAGAAAACTTACTCGGCACACCGGAGACCAATCGAAGCGGTCTTAGCACTCGGAAGGCTCGCAGCGCTTTCACATCTAAGTTGAGGTTTAGACTTGAAAGAGTTGTGCTTATAACTCTGGAAATTAAAAATATACACGTTTTTTTTGGAAAACATAAAAAAAATTGTGTATTTATTTGATTGCCCTTCAATTTTAATTGCAATCTGAATGACTTCAATGTGAAGCACAATTGCGTACTTTCAATTCTACTGGCAATCTGCTCACTTTTTAAAAATTAATTCAATTTGATGATAATTATTTTCCAAATTTTGAGAAATTAACAATATAATATTTAATTTATTAATTTAAATTGCAATTTACTTACCCTATGACTACAATTGTAAAATCTAGCAAGTTCCATCCGTTTCTCAAATATGAACCCTGATGCATGATAAAACCGTACGCTATAATCTTCATGACACACTCTAATGTAAATACCACAAGGAAAATGTATTCAATTTTCTCCTGCAAGCAGAAATCGAGGTGATGAGCGTTCCTTCTTTTCATTATTACAATTTTCCATTCAAGAGAAATAATGCCTTTGTGGCGCTCTCTCATCAAAAAGCAGGCGAAAGAGAGCGCCGGGCGAAGTGATGAAAAAAGCTGGCGCAATGAGAAAAGCGAGCGAGACGCCCCGGAGGGAGATTTTGTAACGGTTATATACATCATACAGAGTGTAAGTGTGTTTGTGCAACGGAATTATATAATGTAGGTAGGTAGGGTTGTATCCGAGGTGGGTATCGTGTATTTTCGCAAAATGACAGGAGCAGGGAAGCAAGGAAGAGAGCCGAGTTAGCCGTACACGTGACGTCAGCATTCTACTCTACTTGCGTCATTCTCTCGACCAATGCGAAAATGAGTGAGAAAACCAAGTAGAGTCTTCTCTCGCCCGCCACCGGATCAATGCCATTTATTTTATTTATAGCAAATGCGTTGCTGCCGGGAAAAATAAAGTCGGGAAAACACGAACAGGTTGGAAATGTTCTCGAGGGGAGTCTAGATTTTCTGGAGCGCGATGCACGCAAAACATTGAAAAGGAGTGTTGCAAGAGAAGTCGGTGTGTGGGTGACGAGGAAGAAAAACAATGAAATTCTGAAACGATTTCTTGTTAGTCACATTCTTCTTTTAAATTTATTTTTCAAGCTGACGTCTTTCTTAAAAAAAACCTAATAGAAATAGAAATTATTAATCGGTAAAAATTCATTTTTTAAATTGTAAAAAAAAATCCGCTTTAAATTGTTCAAACAATAATTTATACTTTTTTTAAAAACTTCAACAAAAAACAGCAACGTATCTTTCCTATAAAGAATTAAATGTAATTATTTTATTAAATTTGTAACTCGTATTTTTTTTTTTTTTTACTTTATCGATTTTTCATCCGCAAGTTGTGTTCATCTCACTTCAGAAATTTCCACGCACGTGAATCTAACAAAGCGCCTCCATATTGAATAGCGAATCTAGGCCGTGCTGAGTAACGCTCTTACAAGATTACACCCGTGTGCACGTTTTCTACAATCTCTGCGTACTCGGGAACCTTCCACTATGAATATGATTAAAAGTCGCGCTCTTTCTATATCAGCCAACTTTTCAAGCAACTCGAATAAATTGAAAAACTTTGTTAACATCCACAGCAAGTGGGCAAGACAGCGGTTATATTTGTGGATGAAGCGATTGGAAAAAATTAATGAAATCGTATTCATCCCTTTGTGTCCATCAGCTTTAATTAACTTGATCTCACTCTTGACCGTAGGGGATTTTATAAAAGAGTTCAAATCGTCAATAATTGCGCCAGCTTTTTTACCAAATTCATTTGGAATAAAATTTATTATACTTACCAAATACGAATTTGTAACATTGGAATCACTGTTTGGGTATGGAGTATACACAGCCAAGGCAACACAATTGGCGAAGATGGTCAACAAAATCATGTACTCGAAGGGTCTGAACATCATGGTTAAGGAAAATTCCGGAAAATTTATTACAGTAAAATATAAAGCTGAAATTGAAATTTGATAATTATGCTGTGAAATTTTAAATAATTGGGAATAAGGAAATTCTTTAAAAAAGCTGTAAAGTAAATTACACAAATAATCATTTGTTTATAATAATGTACAATTTATGAAAAAGGCCTCACCAAGATTGTTCCAGGATATTTTTTTACAATATTTTGATTTTATATAGAGTATGTGTTATTCTCTTGATCTCTGCTCTTTAAGAATATGATCTCAATTTTTAAACAATAGTTAACTAATTAATTTTAATTTTTTTTAGTGTTTGAATTAGGCAAATAAACCAAATAATATCAGTCACATTTCTACTATTTGAGTTTATAACTATAATATTTGAATAGTAAAGCAAACTGGACGGAAGTGAATTTTATATAGTGCGCGCGCATAATCAATTTATTTATTTAGTCGGAACTGAGCAGAGTCACTTGGACTGGCAATCAGGTCTTTTGAACAAACCGACCTCATTTCCCTGGAAAAGCAGCTTTGGTCACTCCCCGCGTCGAGGCATTATCGGAATCCAAACACAAACCTTTGGATTAGTTTGATTAAGGACGAGCGCGTCTCTTTGGCGAACCGCCGCGTGGAATAATTCGCTGGCGGCTCACCTGTTGCTGATGGCGGAGGGCGCGAGTATCGACTCTAGGGCTGCGGCCGGGCCTCTTTCCCCGCCCGACTCTCTCTCTCACTGGCGTATTTCAGCGAAAAACTTTCTTTCTTTCTCGCAAAGCGGCGGAAATGCTTCCGCTCGACATGCTAATTTTCCGCCGAAAGTGTTCATGTCAAATGCACGCTTTGTCCTTTTCGCCCGGATCGCTACTCGCTGTGTTTGTTTGAGCTACGCCTTTTGAGCGAGAGAATATTCATACGCAGAGAGCGGATACATAAATGCTCCAGCTGCAATGTTTCATTCTCTCGCAACCTAAAGGAAAGAACGCGTAATTCTCTTCGTGTCGCCTTTGAAGCTGCAAAATCTTGAAATTGATTTTTAATTCAAATTTTTCGAAAAATTCTTGAATTGCTTATATATTTTAGATAAAGCTAACGTAGATTAATATTACATCAATTTTTAAAGATTTGTTTCTCGAATCTACTCTAAAACTGTGCTATCAGTTTTGATCATAATAATGCTGATAATATGCTTGTCATTAAAGGTTTTTAATTCCAATAATTAAACGAGCCAATATAAATTAACTAACTGTAAGTTTTTAACATTTTTCTCCTTTACCTTGTGCATTTTGAAAAAGTATGTGAAGAGCTTAAAAATCTATAGCGAGATGTATTGGGGTTTGATCTTGGAAGTTTCAGAAGTTTTTTTCTATATGATATTTTCCATAAAATAAAATTGTTCTGAATTTTTCAAGATATTCAAATATGTTTTGCAATAATTGGAAGAATAAACAGCTACTATATAATATTAAAATTATTGTTACCTTAAATCTAATCATGCTTCTTCATTTAAAAAAGAATGCCAGAGAATGCCAGGTGATACATTAATAAAACACAATTGTAACTAAAAAATTTAAACATTGTTATTGGCTCTGGTCTTTGAATGGTATAAATGCTTTACTTCTTTTTTTCTAGCAAGTAAAATCAATTAGATGTTTTAAACGCTATGAGACTATTTTATGAGTCTTGCAATCACAGGTAAATTAGTTTCAAATGACACAATATCAATTTTCAATTGGGTTGAAAATTATTTATAATAACCAAAAATTTAAAAAAAAATCACTATTAAAAATAAAGAGATGACATCGTTTTTAATCTTTAATAATTATAACTTTCTGCAGCTTAGCTGATACAAAAAAGTTTTCAAACTTATTACTGACTTTAATTTGACTTACTTAATTTTATTTTTATGCATTTAATAATACTTTAAAACTAAAATAATTTTTATTTTTATTCATTCAAACTTTTATTCATTTTCTTTTCCAATAGGAAAAATGAAAAAACAATTATGAAAAATTTGTGACTATTTTGTTTGAATATTTAAACCCAGAATTGAACTATTGATTCAGGTTATTACGCTTCCCCATACGAGGCACAAAACCCTCGTCATTTGGCACTCGGAGTGCCAAATTTCACGCCCTTAATCAAATCAAATCTTCATTCTTGGCCGCAACCCCACTCGCATTTTATTCTTTCTCTTCTTTTTCTCCTTAATTCGTTACTGTGGGAGCAAATAATAAAAAAATCAATTTAACTCTGCTTTCGACGAGGCTCGGGCCAAGAATCGCGTGCGATTTATGCAAAGAGAGAAATTAAAATTTAGGGGAAGGTGCCAGGAGCAATTCGCTAAATTTATTCGCGACAATGTAGCCGGCGAGTTGGCAGCTCGCCCGGACGAGCTCCAATCGCCGCCCCGAGCCGTCCCATTAGAGCTAATCGCTAATCACGCATGTCCAATTTTGCGGAAATAAAACCGAATAAACACTCGCAAAAGAGAGAGGGCAGCGAAAATTCACAACAAAGCAAACGGCCTTGGCTGGTTGCATTGTTTTCAGGGGAAGCTGATAAGAGCTTACGTCTTTGTCTCTTTGATTCAATTTCATATTCCAGCCACTCAATTAGCCCCGCTCTCACTCTGCTGCGCGTTAAATTTGTATTTATTCCACAGCGTTCATTGGCCAGAGTGTCGCATTGAATTTTGCGAGGCTTTTCAAATCAACCGCACTAATGAGGGTTCGATATACACAAAAAGTGATCCGAGACTGGCGCCACACATTTATATATTATGCGTCCAATTTGCCTCTGCGTACGCCATTCAAATTCGCTCGTGATTTATTCCATTATTCACAGCCAAATCGTTCCCTCTGGAATTGGATTATAAATTTGTCAGACCGACGGAAATCAATCATTTGAGAGAGAAATCAAAATTAGATATACAAAACGAGTAGAATTTTTTCAATTTTATTATCTACTTTCAGGAAATCTCTTCTTTGCATTGCCATTAAAAAGCGATATATTCAGCTTAATTCAATATTATTAATTTTGAAAATCAGACTTTTGCACTAATGCATCACCTCAAATTGCTCCAGGAGTCTGAATTGTCAATTTTATGGAAAAAAATACAAGGTCAACGGTTGCTTACAAAGCTTTCGTTTTAATTTGATCAAGAAACTAATTATTTTTTCCGAATAGATTGAACATTCTTTTGTCAAAATCCAAGTAGGCTATCAGTTTAATTTTTAATTGTAATCCTGATAAAGTTAAGTTTCTATAGAATTCACAGAATTCATATAATATAGCAATATGAAAATTCTGCTCTTTTTAAATTTTTTGGTAATATCATAAATATGACGGGAATACAAAGACCTAAACAGAAGGGATAATAAGTTCATTGCCTTCAATAAGTGTCAATATAGAGTTAAAAATTATTCATGATGAAAAAGGATTGGTTTGTGATGATTTCAGGATTTTCTTTTGATAGAAGCAATTTTGTTTGCCTTTCATGCAAATAAAACTGCACAAAGTGCTTTTTTTTTAAATAATAATAATTAAACCGCCGAAAAGAACTATAAAATAAAAGCTGATGATTTTGACTTTCAAATAATGTTCGATGTTCTCCAAAAATGAAAAGTTACGTCATATCAGATGTGCTTGAAAAGCTGTTTAGTTGATCAACTTAAACTTCAAACACTAATTTAATTTCTTGAACTACTCATGTACTTCTAAAGCACTTCTGAGCGTCAACTATGGCAATCTAATTAAACTGCCTTCCATTAGCGATTCCACACATCCTTGCTGATTAATTAATTCCCATTCCGAAGGCGAGGCACACCAGGATTTTATTGTTTTCGCCAGGAGAACCCTGGCCTACGTATAGGCTGTGCCAACAATGGCGACAAATCAGCAGCGGCGCACCCGCTGACAACAATGGGGCGCGTTATCAGCTCGGGCGGCCTTGGAGGCGCTGCCAAAACAACACAGCGAGCAGTCTGGCCGCCCCCCGCCCCCTCCCGGCCGTGCTCGGGAGGGTGGGCGAGCTATTGATAGGTTTGGCGCGCGTCCAGCCCGGACACTCGCGGCCGTCCATGCTGCGAGCGTGATTTACTCGCGGGTCGCTGCACCGTTTCTCTCCTTCTCGGCGCTGGGAAAATTCTCTCTCCGAGCAAAGAATTCGCCGGGGCGGACAGGAGGAAGTGGCTTTGTGAACATAATTCGCTCTCTTTTCGCGCGTCCGGCGATGATTCAAATTGAGCAGAGCTTGTTTCTTGTTCGAATATAACTCTCGTGATTCGTACATTTGAGCAGATTTCAGTATTTTACCTATTTTTATTTGATGGTATGATCGTTTTAGTTTTGACATTAAAAGTGGCTTTTTTATCTCTTCGGAAATATTTTGATCGCAATCATTTGATGGTTTCAATTGATAATATCACCTAACAATAAGAAGCGTAATAAAAAAAAGAATTTTTGTTTAAAATATTTCATATTGAGCGAAAAAAACTATTTATTAAGGTGTATTTGAAATTTGAAGATACTCAATTTCATTATTGTTTTGCTAAAAAATTCAGCTAATAAACACTAATTCTTCTCTTCAAAATAATTTTGAAGTTTTTTTTTTTAATGAATTCAGCGTAAAATTCTCAAATAAACTTTTTACAGTTTAAATGAAAAGCCTGTTTTAAAATTATCAAGAATATTTAAAGCCTTACACAAAATTTAAACTATATTCAATAATGAAAACCCCTTACTTCTTAATATAAAGTTTTTTAACTGTTTTCTTAATTTACTCTCCTAGATTTTCATCCTTGTTCAATGAATTTATAAAGCCTGAGGCAAAAAGTTTACACATTATTAAAAATTTTCTTGTTTCTATTAATGATTTTTGTATTTAAAGTTAATAAAATAAATAGGAGTAATATAATATTTACTGCTGTAAAAATTTAAAATTTCTCAACAATTGGGAGGAAAAAAATTGATTTATCAATT